CTGATATATCGCTTTGAGTTTTTTTATGATATTCGTTATTTTAGACAAATGCCTTTTAGGAAGATTTCTGTATTTTAGTTGCGAACACCAATATTTTTATGTTTTAAATGTGCACATGTCGTACAGTGTTAGTGTGTGAACATAGAGGTAATGATAATGATGATGATGGTAATGGTGTCTGTAATGGTGACGATATCTTATGCCTTACAATGGACTGATGTTCTCTCACATGTGTTTCTGTATGTGTGGTGCTGGAGTTTCTTTTCATAGATCTAAATATGAAACGATTTTGTCACAATCCTGTTTTTGTTTTTTGTTTTTGTTTCTTTAGTGTGTTTAAGGGGGAACATTAAATAGACGTAATGCTTTTTTTAAATTGTAGAACAGTATTTTTTTTTTCTGCATGAATCTTTGGTGTCAAATGACCACTTGCATAATTTATGATTGTGGCTTATTTTTGTGGCTTTGCTGCGTCGGTATTAAGCAGTTTGAGGCAAAAGATATAAAAGTCTTGCAATTAAAAGTCATTTTAGTCCAAATATGGGAAACTTGTAACTGTATGGTGCGTGCTTTGTTGAATCAATATATGCCTCAGTCATTAACTACAATGACTTCTTGCACATTTATTAACTGCTTCCTACTAACCTAGCGAACCTTCTTGGTTATTCATCCTCTAAATTAAAGGTGTTTTATATTTGTGGAGTGTCTCACCTGCATTCAATCTGGTTTAATAGCTGCAGTCTCTGTTTTTCATCTGGAAACCATAAAGCAGCATTTATGCTTTACATTTTTATGTAAATAAATCATTTGTGGATGGACTTTCATTTGACTCGTATTTTTGAACGCGTCTGCTGGTTGCAGACCGTCACATGTTTGACATTTATCTCCAGTATAAACTTGATTGTTGAAAGTCTGTTTCATCCAGAAACTGCAGTAATGTGCAAAAGTCTTGAGCAACCCTGTATTTCTGTATATTTTGCCCCCAGACTGTCTTGTCATTTTTAAGACCAGTGGCTCAA